GTAAAAGAAGATGGTTATCTCACCATAAATACCCAAAAACAGTTATACCAGTATAATAGATTAGTGTTTGGTATTGCCTCTGCCCCTGCTATATACAGTATGCAATGGTTCAAGTGTTACAAGGCGTTCTAAGAACATGGTGTTACTTGGATGATATTGGAAGTGATGAAAATGAAGAAAAACATCTGAGAAATTTATATCCTTTAAATAGTTTGCTGAAAATAAACCACACATGGGTTTGGTCTCATGTACATCAGAAAGCTTTCTTAGAAGCAGCTCATAGGATGCCTTTTCACTTCAACTCATCATAGCCTATTAAGCTAGCATGTGCTGCATCCTCACGTAGCATTGGGGCTGTTATATCACATACTATGGCCAATGGTACTGAATGGCCCACAGCTATCACATCATGATCATTTACAGCAGCAGAACAGAATTATGGTTAGATAAATAAGGCAACTTTAATTCTGGTGTGGGGAATGAAGGAATTTAACCAATACTTATATGGCAGAAAGTTTACGTTGGTCACAGATCACCAATCCATAGTCTCACTTCTCCATCCTAAAAAAGGAGAATCTGGGGATGCATCTACCCAAGACATTTACTGTGGAGTTACCTAATTAGGAAGTGGAGGGGTGTGACCCAGCCCTGTGGGGGGAAAGGGGCATGGTCCAGCCCCAACCCAGCTCCATAGGGGATGAAGGCTTGACCCAGCCCAGCAGATGGGGGAAAGGAGCTTGAGCTGGTCCCAAGGGACAAAGGGAATGTGGCCCAGCCCCATTCAGCCCAGGAGAAGGGGCATCACCCAGCCTCATTCAGTTGCCAGGGGTTGGGGCATGACTTGGCCCCAACCTGCTACATGGTGCTTGGGGTTGGAATTTGGCAGCTGGAGAGGGTGGCTGTATTTATTGCCCTTGCTCCCGTGCTGCCAAATTTCCCAATCCATGTGAGCCCTGCAGGCTGGATACCTATGGCTCTGCAGGTTGTATTTGGCCCACAGGCTGCAGGTTGAGCACCCCTGTACTAGTCTGTGCAGACCATTCTCATGGAAGTGGTCAGGAAGGTGATGGATGTTACCCAGAAAGGAAATGCAAGTCACCTGAGAGGACAGCAGTCTGTGCATTAAGCCATTATCATTTCAGAAGGGAGAGACAAGATGTAAGATATGTGAATGTGATGACTCTGCATGTGTAAATCTTGAAACTGTTAATATCAGTGCTCGTATAGTTATACTCTGTTCACAGTACAAATGTAACAGTAACTTCTGCATTATTAAGAAAAAGTAATGTGGGGTGTGGGACAAGCAGATATGCCATTTTATGGACAAAAGAGAGTATGTATGAGGTTTCAGTTGTATGGAATATTGATGTTCTGTATCTGTTGGAGATGGAAGCAAATGCCTTACTATTATATGTTACTGATGGTATTAGGAGTAGGGTAAAAGTGGTGACAAACACAGACTTTTACCTTAACTTCTTTTTTCTACAACTTTGGGTGAGTGTGGTATGTCCTTCTACAATCTTAATTAAAATTAAATGATGTTTGTGGATGATGTCTTTAATTGGACCAACTGAATGTTTGGAATAGATTTAGATAAGCTTTCAAATGCAATGCATTATTTGCATTCAAAAGCTTGTCTAAGTCTATCCCAACCTTGCAGCTGTTCCAATAAAGGATATCACCCACAAAAATCATTGCCTCTTGCATATTTCCTGTATCATCAGGGCTGAGACATCACTCCAACAGTATTAAATAATGTTTTTTGAGTTATGATGTCAAAACACGTTGCATTTCTCTAACAAAGCCTTTTGACCCTGAATTTACAGACATTCATACCCTCAGTCCCATTTCAAATACCAGTAAATTAAGCCAGATAAAATATGCTAACATTTTTTTCCCAGAGACAATGTTGTGCATGTCTATAACCTAATTGTGGCTCATTTAACTTAATTGTGGTTCTCAGACAAGCCTATCAAGCTGTGTGCTCTCCCTGGCCACCTATTGGCAGAAGAGCAGCAATGCAGCTTCAAAGGATTATTAGTGTATAAACAGCTGTTTTGATCTGTCAAAACCAGAGATGATTAATCCAAGGTCAAATGAGATGTCAGTACCTTAAATCAGGTAGCTGTGGCAGTGAGAACCTTGTTGACAGCTGTAGATCACTCAGGCACAGGCACAGGCACAGTCCGGCTGGAGAACAGGTACGAGGCCCTGGCAACTCTGGAGGAGAAGGAAGGAGAGGAGGAAACCAGGGAGGAGGCAACTTCATGCTCTCCACGTACCGAGCAGGCCAAAGGAGATAAGCAGGCCAGAAGGAAAAAGCGTCGAGTGATCGTCATAGGTGACTCCGTCCTGAGAGGTACACAGGACCAGGACCCCTCGACACACGAGGTCTACTGTCTACCTGGAGCAAAGATTCAGGATGTGAAGGGGATGATCCAGGCCGTGATCCAGCCCACCGATCACTACCCCATGGTCCTAATCCATGTGGGTACTAATGATGCGGCCAGGAGAAGCCCTGATCGCCTGATGAAGGACTACCATGCACTGGGGTGTGTGCTAAAGGAGATAGGCGCACAGGTGGTATTCTCTTCTATACTACCAGTGAGTGGATGTGGAAGACGGCATGCAACGTGCATTGCGGAGACCAACTGGCAGCTTTGGAAATGGTGTCTTGAGGTGGGCTTTGGCTTCCTCGACAATGA